TTTTTTTATTGGTTTCCATGACAGCATTGGACTAGTTCTACTATCTGACCAAGTTTGAACGAAAAATGTTGAAAACTCGCAGAGTTATTTAATAAAATACATTTCGCTGCAATAAGAAAAATATTGAAAATGTAATATTCAAATTCGATTTTCTCCCGAAGAATTTTTCGGCAATTACTGATTTTCAAACGAGTTGTTCTCCTGCGGGTTTAAACAATTTTTCTCAAATTTTCACAGGACATAGCTAAAGACGTCAGGTTCAAAATTGTGTTCGGTTTTTTCTTAGTTTTGGATTTTTTAATAATAAAGAGCAATTCACTCAAATAATTCAGAAATATATTGCAGTCGTCAAAGAAATCGACATATCAGCGGAATGACGAAATAAACAAAAATTCCGGACACAATTTTTTAGAACAACTATTTTACTGTATAAAAATGTTATTTTCATAAATATAACTTAAAACCAGCAGGAGCACAACTCAAAAGCGTAACGGTACCGCGATTTAAGATTTTCCTAAATAATTCTTACATTATTTTATTGTTTGTTAATTTTATAACTTTACCATACAAGGGTGTCCTGTAACCTTAACCAACCTGCTGTTAGATCTCGGATTTCATTTTGCCGAGCAATAGTCATACCTCCATGAGTACAGATGATGGCATGATCAGTCGAAAACCCTTTTCCGCATATGAAGTATTGGGGGAGATTTCTGAGCTGCCATCCATATCTATTCGCCTTTGTTTAAGCTAAATCCATGATCTCTCTGAGTTAGCGCAGATAACCATGATGATGAACCTTTTTCCTTCAGTAAATGCATGATCCGTTGCTTTTGTGGTGATAAAGTTTTTCGAACATCCGAGGCTAATTGTTGGTGGTACTCATTCTTTTGTCGTCGTAGCTCTGCCTTTATTTCATGTACTTGTAGTCTTTCATAAGACGTTGTTTGGCTTATAATCATCTTCTTTAACGGTTCGGTGACCTTCAACAATGCATCATGTTGGATTTTGGCAAGATCAACAGGGTTAGGAAGATTGAGACCGCCATGACGTGTTGGCAGGGACAGCAGTGATCTTTCTTCGTTGAAGCAAGGTTCTCTGCGGTTAAAGCTGGAATAAAGTTGTTTGCAATTCTGTTCTCCAATACTTGAAACATTTCACCAACATCACAAACTGTCCGCATAAGATATTGCTATTTCCCAATAATTACGCGAGAAAGTGCAGTATATGCAGCGTGAGGATATGATTCGGCTATCTTAGATAACGTCATGATTCTTCATCCCATTCTTTTATCTTGTCTGCCACATATCCTTCCACAAAAGGACGTTTACCACATGCAGCACCAAGCATTTTATGACCATCAGTGGTGATTGTAATGCCAGTGTTTTCAAATAGTTCCTTTGCTCGATGAAGGCATTCTTCTTTTACAACCATAGTTGTCTTGCAGGCATTTGGGAAATACCCATATTTTGGGCCAATATCAGCTAGATGTTGCCACCAGTCCCTAAGCGCTTCGAGTCTTCCTGCAGCATTGGAATATCATCCGCAAACCACACCTGACTTGCATTGGTGCTTTCTCATTTAAGCTCTTAATCAGAGGACTAATATCTAATGCATACATTGCCATGGCCAACAATAATAATTACCATTATCAATAATAATAATAATAATAATGAAAACTTTATTCAATTTTTTATGCACTTACAATTATAAATCTCACTGTTAAAGGTAATTTACAATTGGCTACCTGATACATTATACATTAAACTACACATGGACATAATTATATGATACGAAAAGCAAGAGACTAGCTAGAAGTCCATTAAATCTGGGTTGATCAGTCCTTGTTTCTAGAACAGAAAAAGTAATATGTCGTTCTTATTGCAATATTAATGATTTTCCTAATTATATATTTAACACCGGCCTTATCTGAGTTCAAATGTTCCAACATTTGTATAAAAG